TCTATGAGCTTCAGATGTTCTGCTAATCTTACCTCTTCCATTATATATTTGGATATGCCTAAAGCTCTAATCCGCACCTAAAAATGTTATGTTCTGCAAATGTGTGGTGTATCTTGGAAACAAATATTTTAAATAAGTAGGAATCCACACTTCTGTTTCCAGTACTCAAGCAATTTCAAGGTACCATATTTTAATTTCACTGCGTACCATTCTCTCACAGGAGTAAAATCAAGCTGGATCAGTCAAGACTGGTGCTTTTAAACCAGGCAGAGCAACGTGTCAGCATGTTTACACAGGTTACCTAAACAAATCATACATATTTGATCACTTCTGAGATTGATTGGCCTGCATGCTACTCAGCTCCAGTATCTTTTCCCCCATATGTTGCAATAGTGGGAACATGCCCAGCGCTCTGTAAGCTGAGTCCCGTGACTCACATCACAGCATGACCAAGGGCAACACCCACACTTCTCTCCTTGTAACATCCTTGGTATTTTCTGTACTATTTCTGTGGCATAACATGCATGCTTTGTAAGTTTTATTATTGTTAACTGAATGATTAAGCATCAACACTTTTCAAGATTAAAAGAGGTTAACAACCCATGATTTTATGACAATGGAAAGGTTGTCCTCACTTGATGTTTTCTGTTCATCTGTTGTACTATGTTTTTAGCTCTCATGTAATTATGAACATTTTCTGATCATGTTCATTTGACCAACGCCTCTGTAATTTAACATATATACAGTTACTTGTATGCTAAAATGTTTCTATCTTTTATATAAATAGTTTTGTGTTCATTCACAACATTTTTGTAATTCACATTTCAGTTTTCTCATATAAGAGAAGCTAAAATATAGGATGAAAGATGCACTCCTAGGAACAATCAAATGTATTTTTTATACATATGCATAGTTCCTTTGACTATAGATATAATGGTTTAGTGATATTCTAGTCATGAAGTTTATATATGTCTGCAAGGTTGGAATATAGGGAATCATTTATGTAAGTTTTGTTCTTCAGCATAAATAATTGTTTTTTTGTGAACATTATCCAGTTGCTTTATTTTTATAAAGACAAACATAAAACATTAATCAAAATTTCTATGCAGGTGTCTAAATAAATCTGGATGGTTTAACACTATATAAATAAGGATGTTCAAACAAGAAAGAAATACAAAATAGGAAAACTCAGGATAAGGATCAAATGAAGGCAATTTTTGAAAAGACAAAATAGGAACTACTACACTCCCAAACCTCTAAATTCAGAAACTCTAGAACCACAAAATTTACAAAGTTTTTTTATTTAGCTTAATTGTACCAAGGTACGCATTTCTTACTCCTGATGATCTCTTCTCTATAGTTTGACAGTTCTGTTCTTTACCATTGAGATAATCCTTTTGCAAATACAACTTTTTACTTGTGTGGATTTGTTGTGGAATCATTATATTCCATGTATTCTTTTGCACTGTATTATATATTGGAAGTATTTAGGTCTCTCTTTTGTGTCCAAGGGGATGGTAAACAGTTCAGAAGGAATGGAAAAATACCTTTCTGGGGAATCTTGGAAGCTATTTTCGAAAAAGCACTTTAGTAGGGAAGAGTAGAATGGTAATATCCCATCCTAGTGGTCCCAGGTATGAGGGGATGAGTATTTTTTAATGGATATTGGTTATGTGACACTGCTCCTAATCCAGGCTTCTGCTTACATGAGTGTAGACAAGCATAGAGCAGCATCCAAACCAGTAAACTCGAAGTTTCCAGTCATTTGGCTGAAAAATACACAAATCTTTTTTCATTTGGATGTCACTTTGTCTTACTTACCCTTCCCTGCATAATAAGGCAATACTTTTTTCTAATAGATATGTGTGCCCATTTTTTCTAAGTTAATCCATTTAATCCAGTGCTTAGTGTTCATACAGTGTGGCCTTCTTAGCTCTGTTTAGTAAACTGAACAGCAGCTAAGGGCTCTGGAAGTTGAAGGATGAACATTTCTATCTTTCCTGAAAGTTCTCTTCCTGGAGCGGTTCCCCAGATCAGTTAGACTTCTGCAGAGACTTCTGTTGTAAATAGCAAAGACACTAGCTTTCTGATTTTTAATTAGATTGAGAAACTCTTCTGTGCATATTGATTTTTACGATCACTTTGTTGTTGTTGTTATTGTTGTTGGATACCTGCATCTTAGTGAAAAGTGTGAGCCTCTCACATAAAAAGAGAACCAATATTTAATTAAATCTGTAATTCATCAAGCAGTAGGATTATACTCGACACCATCTGTAGGAGAAAGAAGAAACCAGACTACCTGGTTTATATCAAAATAGTTCATGGAATCTCTTGTTTTATTTCTAGAGTAAAGAAAATTGCCTTTTGTAATTAAATATTTAAAAGCTCTAATCTCTGATTCTTCTACCATGAGTTATATGAAATATATAACTTCATGTTCTAAACGCATTGATTCTTTTCAGTTACTTTTGTGTTTGTGGTTGTTCATCTTTTATACTTTCATTTGATTTAATGTCATTTGCTAAGCTAACAGTTCAAATTACTTAGGGTACTTCACATTGCTTTAAATTTTTATTAATGATATGATGCAAAACTTCTTTATTCTTAAAAAGTATATATTTTAAAAATAATAATTTGACTTAATTAAATGTTTTAGTTTATTCACCACCACTGCAACATTTTGCAATATATTTGCTATGTCATGGAATGATGAAAGCAGCATCATAATGGAATTGTGGGGGGCATATTGTGCTATCCCTGGGTTCAGTAGAAGTAGTGATAGGAAATGTTGTTTGCTGTGAATATTGCTATTTTGAAATTATGTTGCTAAAAAAAAATACATGTTTACTGTAAACATTAGTAATATGGGAGTTCTATTCCAGATAATCAGTTTGTAAAGTAATAGGAAAGTAGGCAATGTAACAAAACCATTTTAAATTAAAGTTAATGCAGAATACTGGGTTACTTATTGTTATCATATTGTCTGTCTTCTTTCACAAACATAAAAAATTGTTTATTGCTAAAAACAATCTTGTCCTTTCACATTTTTCAATTGAGGTGTAAGTACAACTTGATTGGATAGTAACTTGTCTGCATTGATCTCTTAAATATCTCTTAATCATAAAATCTAACTAAATTAGTAGAAGTGGTCTTGATTTGACAAAACTGAGGTTGTTTTATAAAGTGTGCTTACATCATTCCCTACAGACATTTACTTGTGTGACTTCATTACTGATGTTATATACTTCTTGATAATAACTTTGTAAAACGTCAGAGAATGCTGTCACCAAAACTACTCTGATTTAGTTTGGTACTCATACTTAACTTAAGTGTACAGGACACCACATCTGCCCTTAAAATCTCCACATCTCTGCAATACCCAGGCAGATTGCAAAATAATATGTTAAGGCTTATTCTTGTATTGAAAGGGGGGTGGGGAGTTGTGTGTGTGTATGCTTGTTTTTATGTTTGGGGATCATTTTAATAATGTGACTTATGTAATATTAATTATTAAAAAAAAAAAAACAAAACAAAAATTATTTCTGGGTGTTGACTGTACAGGTATGTGTACCAGAGTAATGGGTAGTTTCAGAATGCACAATGTATATGTGCATTGGCAAAAAAAGAATGCAAATTAATGCCAGTTGAAATGTATAAGAAAGTAATAGTAGAAAGCAAAATAGAATATATATCAGCAAATCAACTTGGTAACAGTTAACTTTCTAGAAATTCTGAAATTCCATGAAAGATTCCATGATATACTGTGCAATCTCTAGATAGAAAGTAGACAATTTATGCACATTTCAACAGCATTGCCTGCTACATGTGGGTGTTTTTTGTATTTCTGGTGAAAAATATTGTTTTTCTTATTACTGCCACATGGTGTTGCATGCTTAGTTAATTACATTTCTAAAAATATAAATATCAATAAAGTAAAAATATAATGGAATTTTATTTTCAGAAGCTAGATTTTTCCAGCTCATCAGAAGGAAGTACAGTTAATTTAGCTGTCCTTGGAGAAGAAAAAAGTGAAACTGAACCAGAAAAAGCATCAGAACTACAAGCATGCTTTACAGAAGGTATGGAAATAAAATTTGGGTCTAGCAATTACATTTTGCTTGTTTGCGACAAACATTGGAAGTTGAAGGAAGCTATTTGCTAGAGCAGTCCTGGATCCTAATTCATCAAGTCTTAGGGTATGATTAATTTTTCCTGTTCTGATAGCAATACCGACATCTATGAAGTACTGTTTGTTAAAGCAAAGTTCAATATGTGTGTATGTAATAATTTATAGTATTTTAAAATAATCACTAGGCACAATTCTATAAACTTATTCTCAGCAGACAGTAATTCTGTTGATTTAAATTACTTTGTCAGTAGTGAAATTTGCAAGATCAAACTCTACACTAGGCTCACTTCACTGAAAAATTTAAAAGGGAATCATGATTAGTCACTTCCTAGTGCTAGAAAGCAATCCAGTGGGTGACTCAGATTATCCACCATCATTCAGTGGAGAGTTTGAATCAAACAATAAGCTTATTTTGTTGACATTGCACCATTAATGGAGGAAGACAGTATATTAATATTCTATGTGTTAAAACAGGATCTTAAAACAGATCCTATGTAACTATTTAAGTAAAGAAGTCGTAACAGCAACCTGGTATGTCCTTAAATATTTTGATTTATTTTCATTCTGAATAGCTACAACTTCTAGGGGACTATTGAAATTTACTATGTAGGAAAGAATTTCTGGGTTTTTTTTTTGTAATATTATGGATCTTAATTTCTGTTTCAATCATGAGTAAAATAATTCAGAACAAAATATGGTCCAGGATTAACTCTCCTATCCTGTCCATGCTTTTTAGTTTACTGTTTTGCAAACATCTTTGATTTAGGCTAGGACTTTTGTCCTTTGAAGTATTATTTTACTGGTCTTTATAAAACCAGAATTGTTTGTCAGTGTGGGGCTGAATTGACTAAATCAAGTTCTTATTTAAAAAAAAATCCAACAAAAAATGTACCTTTCTCAAATAATTTGACAATATATTAAAATTCTTCCTTATCCTTGTGTTATGTGATACCAATTCCTTCTTGAGCATAAAATTCATTTTTTCATAATGTAAACATTTTGAGTGGTTGAAGGTAAGGTAGCTCAAGTTTTTCACAGTGGTAGCTGTTTTAGCTGAGATGATGAAATACAGTGTAACTTATTTGTAACATATTAACTTAATGACACTTAATGGGAAAACCAGAATGCCTTTGTGATCCATTGAAGTCATGTCAACTTGGTCTTGTTTCTATGAGAGTAATAATTTTTAAAGAATTAAGGAGGCTTCTCTTGGCTGGGCAGTTACTGAAATTCATTGTTAACAGTGCCTTGAGGCCCCATGATAAAGTAGGGAGCTCTCCAATGTGAGGCAAATTTCTGTGGACAGTTGCCACAGATCTGTATCACACTGGAAAAGCTCTCATTATCTCCTGTTAAAACATTTGTTTATGTAAAGAGTTTTCCTTTGTCAGCCCATGGAGCATCAGTTGTCCCTCAGCATAGTAAAAATAGTATTTATGTCTGATTTATTTGAACCTTTTCTAAAAGGCAAGATTTTTCTTAAAAGAAAAGTTCTGTAGTCTTAAACAAGTTCATGTGAAAGTTGCTATGTATGCTCTTTATTTCTACTCCTTCACAATTTGCATATATTATTTAATTATCTGTACATAAACAGAATAATATATATTTTTAAATGTGTTTGTAAATGAAAATTAGCTCAGTTAGATGACTGTTCTTTACTATATGCTTGATGTTGCATCAGAGTAGAGGAAAAAATGTGTACACTCAAGTTTTCCTACATCCAGAGTATAAAATTGAAAAGATAAGTAATGTAAGTAGCATGAAGTAGCTTGAACTTTATGAAACAGGAGCTGGCTAAAAAGGATTTTATTTTTCAGGATAATGAAAAATGTACCATATAACAGTTTCTTAATTTTTGTGCTATTAGGCTGTGTACGGAGGTTCAAATGCTGTAAAGGCAGTATGGAGAGCACAAAAGGAAGAATCTGGTGGAACCTTCGAAAAACCTGTTACAGGATAGTAGAGCACAGCTGGTTTGAATCATTCATTGTCTTCATGATTCTTCTCAGCAGTGGTGCTCTGGTAAGTAGAGCTTGCACTCACAGAAATAGTACTTATAAAAATATTTTATCTAAATGCAGTATTATAACACATGTATTCCTTAAGAATAAAACATGAAGTTGTCTTTTAAAAGCACTTGGAACAAATTCCCAGAATATTTTGAGTATTACATTTAATTTACATTACTTTAAAACTCTGGTGAATGCTAGGTGATGTGTGTGTTTAGGAAATGGATTACACTAAAAATCTTGTTTAAGAAATTATAAAAATCATGAAAATGGAAATGTATGCATGAAACAATTGTTCTACTTCAAATGAAAATTGTCCCCAAAAGCAGATACTGAATTCATCATGTTAGTTTTTTTTGCTACAGTTTTAGTTGCCATATTTCTGGACTGTTACATAGGATTACTTGAATTTCTTTTTAGTATTCTTAATGATATTTAGTGCTTCACATATTTGGGTTCATTTTGGTTGCTGATTGACATAGCATTTGCTGTATATTGTCTTGGGTTCTGCTCCAGCACTTAAAGCTCCACATACTTCCCTTTCTTTCTACCTGACCTTGGTGTTTGCAAGGTAGTTTCTCTCACTTTTTTCCTTCAGTGCTCATACTGCCATGCAGTGCTTTGCCCTTTCTGAAATGTTTTCCCAGAGGCACCAACAGCTTCATTGTTGTGCTCAGCTGTTTCCTGTGTGGGATCAATGCTGGAGCTGGCACAAAGCAGTCTCCTGGTCTCTTCTCGCAGTGACCACATCTGCTGCCTCCCTCTACTAAAACCTTGCCATCAGCACCTAAGATAGGAATTCATTAGAGATCATCAACATAAAATCTGGTCTGTTGTTAATGGAAGTTTATATAATAATGAGAATGGCTTCTGACAGAACCTGTCTGGGCTTTTCAGGGTGAAAAATTATAATTCTCTGTTGACTATTACTGAAATTTCTAAAAATCTTTTAGGCAACCTCGGACTTTATAGTGTAATTCCATTTTCAGGCAATAATAAAATTTAAAATAAAGAAAGAGTGTAATTATAATTTCTGTTCTTTTGTTTTTTCAAGGTAAAATCTCTAAAGTTGAAAGTGATTTTACTTAACTATTTTCATTTAGTTCTGGCTTAATTTGTAATTTCCAAAGACTTTTCAATATCTGACATATATGTAACCCATTCTTTACAGGCTTTTGAAGATATATATATTGAACAGCACAAGACTATAAAAATCCTGCTGGACTATGCTGATAAAATCTTTACTTATGTCTTTATTCTGGAAATGGTGCTAAAATGGGTAGCCTATGGTTTTCAGACTTACTTCACTAATGCTTGGTGCTGGCTGGACTTCCTGATTGTTGATGTAGGTACTATGCTTTCTGAGTAGTCTGTTTCTGTTGTTTGGGCAGGTCATTTTAGGTAACTTCAATCTGATAGAGATGTATGCAGTGAATAATATAGATTTGGTTTAAAGAAATGGAAAATTACATGCTGGTGAATAAGATCCTGCTGCAATGATCCGGTGTGTAACTAAATCTGCTGTGTTCTGTGCTTTACTGTGCGGGTCCCAGCTGCTGAGGGAGCGCTGTGTACAGATTTGACTTCAGTCTGCTGGATGTGGCAGCAGAGAGCAAGGGGGACACAGACACAAGAATGGAAAGTGAGCACTTGGGCTAGGGCATTTGATCCTGGGGTTAATGGGGCACTGACAAAGAACTGCAGGGGATAATTGTTTTTCAACAATAACTTTAAAAGCTAGTGTTGACATTGCACTCCAAAGAAACTAAATTAGTAGCATTGCATGATAAGTTCATTTAAAGTAGTTCTTTCTTTTTGTGTAGATGTTAGACTAGAAATTCAGCAAGTGGACAAAAGAAAGCTCTATTGATTGGATGGTATCTGGAATCTAGGACAGAAATTTTGTCATAAAGCATTAGAACTGAAACTTACCTAGTGATCTTTTTAAAGTAGTTTTTTTGGGAGGAAAGGCACAAGTGGTGTTTGTTATTTGTCTTCCTCATTTAACTGTGATTCACTTTTCAGTGAATCCCATTCTCAGCAAATGAACTAATGCAGTGACATGAGAAAATATGTTTTTTCTGGGATATGCAGTTTACTGCTTTTTACTTTCATGGCCTCTCCATTTCTTCTGTTGTGAACTCTCAGTTAATACTTACACCAAGAATAAAGTCAACATATTCCCACAACAGATGTACTGACCTGTAAGAAACTTAGCAAGTATAAAGGCCCTAACCTAACACTAAATTTTCCAAAACAAGATAACCTTAGCACATGAAAAAAGTTAGGATTGTCTTTGAGTAAGGCTGAATATATAATTTTTGTATATTTGCTTTTTTTATGAATGTTATAGCATTCTGATTTCTCTTTATTATAACTTAAGTGAAAAAATATGACAATTTTATAATCAATGGGAAATCAGCAGCAATCATCTAGATAGATTCTATCACCTTTGCATAAAATTGTTGATTCCAGGTTTTAGCCTCTTTTCGTATTATGAATAACCAGACATTATGTTTCCAGAATTTTGTGATACATAAATTTTGAATTTTTTTCCATTACAATGTTCATTGGTTATAAAAGAAAGAAAATTAAACAGAAATAAATAAATCTATTACTATCTAAGGAGTATTCAGATTTAATGTCCCTGTACAAGCCTGTATTGGGAAATGTTGATCTTGAATTGAGTTTTAAGATCAATTCTTCTGATTAGGCATACCATATATCCACTTGGATAGGTATAGGCTCTTCATTTTTTAGCTATTTCAGTGCTTTTATGTAGCCATCTTAATCTTTTGTTTAAAGTGTCTGCATTTGGTGATCCTGTAACAGCAGATTATTTAACAATTCATGTTGGGGGGCACCATCGTTGGTTTTCCATTAGCTGTAACCTCAAGGTTAGACTAGGCAGCTCAGGCTGATACTCTGTTTTGAGTGGAGAATGCCTTACTTAGCAATGCATTTCCAGTGTTTGACCTCCTATACTGTAAACCCACTCCTTCCCACCCCTAAAGATGTGGACTGGTTAGCTTTTTTTTGCTATTATTGCCAGCCTTACTTGTTACTGTTTTCAGCCAGTAACAAGGAGTTTGAATTCTTTCTCTTCCTGCTGGTTTAGCATGCAGGTGCTGCCCTCGGCTGCTGAAATAGATACTTGTTTTATCTTTCTGTCTTATGCCTTTATCCAGCTAACATTGAACAAATTTGCCATACCAGTACCAGTCAAGTTAAATTATCACTGTGAGACATTTTACAGAATCTTTCAGGTAAACTGTTCTGTACCTAGCAGCCTAAACTCTCCAGCTCTTCCCTGTTTGTGAATGAACTTCTGGTATACAGACAGAAGTTCTTACCCATTGTGTTGTTTACAGTTATTTCAGAAACAGATTATTAGCCCTGAAACAAATAAAAATGCTCATTTTTCTCAGCTTTCCATGTGCAATTACAAGTGGTATCACAGAAAAGAGCAAAAATGGGATTGTATAGTATTTGGCAGCTTGCTTGAGCTACCCTTAGAGAAAAGAAATCTGCAGAAAACTTTGTTGTGTAAACACAACAGGAGAGAGCCATCTGGAGTGGGAGGCTCAGTGAGGACACAAGTCCACTTTCACTGGAAAACAGCAGGAAAATCAACTTTTGAGCTGTTAATCCAGCTGTACTGAAGGTTTCAAAAATTCTTGTGCATTAAACCCTTTCTTCTACAAAAGTAGGCACATTAGTTGTCCGAAATACAAACAATTTTTTAAATACAAATATTTTTCCATCTTGTGGTAACAGTGTGCTTTTGTGCAATTATACTATTTGGTAGCTAAAAGAACAGAAAGTTGAAATTAAGCTGAGGTTGGGATTCTGTCTCATGTGCATCATTACAGGATGTTCTTTATTATTTCCCCTTCTTTTATTGTAATACACTTTTTGAATTTTCTAATGTTATATTTAGGATTTCTATATGTAGAAGCCAGTTTATAACTGGTATCACAGATTGTCCAAACCACAATCAAACACATGGAGGGAGAGGAAATTAGTTGTTTTTTTTAAAATAAAAATATGCATACACACATAGTCCAATACAATCCACAGATAGTATTAGAATTAGAGTATATTTTTGTTCAAACTGTTCTGAAATTTATATGCAGTATTAGACTATTTTTTTTCTATTTTTTCTTTTTCTTCTTTTTATTTTTTAATATATTTTCACTGAAAGATTAAGGACCATGTGAAATTTTTTTCCCAATATCCAGATGAAAATTTTACCCCTCAAGGCATTTCTATTTTGAAGCTGCTTAAAAAAGAAAAGTACTTTTGTTTTGTTTGTTTTCTCTAGGTCTCGTTGGTTAGCTTAGTAGCCACTGCCCTTGGTTTCTCAGAATTTGGTGCAATTAAATCGCTCCGAACATTAAGAGCTTTGAGACCTCTAAGAGCTTTGTCACGCTTTGAAGGCATGAGGGTAAGGAAAAAAAAAGGGGAAAAATGTGTAAAACAAATCCCTAGAAGTATGCCAAATTATAATAGCATGGAAGAACACTAATTGAATGTTAGTAAAGCCAGTAGTAGCTTGTTTGGTTATATGACATGCATTACTCCTTTTCTATTTGCATTACTTCAGTGTAATGTAATGTTTTACATTAAATCATCTTCTAGATTTAAAAAAATATAATCCTTGTGTTGTTTTTAATTTTGTTTTTCTGTGTTTGTTGACTAGGTGGTTGTGAATGCTCTTACTGGAGCAATCCCATCCATTATGAACGTACTTCTGGTTTGTCTCACATTCTGGCTAATTTTCAGCATTATGGGAGTAAATTTGTTTGCTGGCAAGTTCTATCACTGTGTTAACACCACAAATGATGTGATGTTTACACCAGAGCAAGTCAGTAATAAAAGTATGTGTGAAAATATGAGCAGAACTACTGGAGGTGTTCGGTGGAAAAATGTGAAAGTAAACTTTGATAATGTTGCAATTGGTTATCTTTCTTTGCTTCAAGTGGTAAGTGCATAAATTTTCAAGCTTTAGTTTTAGTTGTGGTATCATTTAATTACATAATTTTCAATGTTATTTTAAAATAAATAAATAGATACGGATTTGACTTTATAATTTTGTTCTATGGAGCTAATTAATGCTGCTTATTGTAAAAATGTTATACATTCTCTGGCCATTTTGGAAGAGGAGGAATATCTAATATTTACCTGATGGATAAAAGGTTGCTTGGCACCCAGCTGCTAGTAACATTTCAAGTGCTATGGAAATGCAGAGAATGTGGATGGCCCATCATTGGAAATTTTTGATGTGGTGAAAGATATCCCTGCCTGTGGCAGAGGATTTAAACTAGAAAATTTCTAAAATTCTAAAATTCCAAGCCAAACCCTTCTATGATTCTATTATCTTCTTAAGATTTATTGGAACTACTTACCTTTTAGAGTTTTTCTGGGATTGTTTCCATATTCTGTCTGAAAAATGCCAGTAGATGGTGGCTGATGTTTTTTTTCCTGGAAAAGTCCTCCAGTTTTTTGGTAGTCAGACAGTTAGAACTGAAAGCCGCCTTATAATAGCTTGAGGAAAACCAGGCAGTGTTTGGGAAGAGCTGGTGTTGGCACCATTCCCTGCACTCAGGGCAGAGGAATGGTGCAGCTCAGAATTGTTCCATCAATGACAGAATTACAGGGGAGCCACAGAGCTGGGATGTGCAGGGGAGTCCTGGAGGAGAAGCAGTGGGCCCAGGCTGGGTGCTGGCTCTGGAAGGTGCACAGAGCTGTGTGTGGCCCATGGCCCACCGTGGCCCCCATGGACACCATGGCACACACTTGAAGGATGGATGAGCTCCTGAGTCCTTGGGCAGCTTCACTCAGTCTCTTCTTGGAGCTCCTTGTTTCCAGTGGAGTGTCCCACACCATCCCCGTGCAGGTGGACTAGCTGATCGTGCAGGTTCCCTGTATCCTGACATCAGGGGCTTGGCTTTACTGGGATGCCAAATAGCACAGTGCCTTTCCTGTTAAGGTAATATTACTTTACAGATGGCAACCAGCACATCACATTTCCCTGGGAGATAAATTGCTGTCTCTCTGGTATGATGATATTGATTACAACTTATCTCACAGAGAGCTTATATGAATTTCCATGAAGATTGGAATTTATTCAGTGTTTTTTAAGAAGAATTTCACAGTATGCTGTGAATTTCACAGAATGCTTCACTTGTAACGCACCAGACTTTTAATATTTTCTTTATTTTTATGAACAGAAATACATTACAGAAGACATTGTTTTATTTAAAATGTTCTCAGAACTGGAGCTTTGATAGAAAATATTAAATTTTGTTTTCAGGCAACATTTAAAGGATGGATGGAGATTATGTACGCTGCAGTTGATTCTACAAAGGTGAGTGCACTATAAAATCTACATAAAAATAAAATTTACTGAGGGAAAACAAATCTATGATTGATGTAAGGCTTCTTGAATGACAGTTGAAATGAGCTAAAATATAAAAAGTTAAATGTTAAGTCCTGAAGAATTTTCTACAATCTATACCCACAAAATGCTTATACTTTCATCAGGTAAAAAAAATTATAGCTTTAAGATACATAAATTGTTACTAATTTAATAATTCTTCTAATGAGATATGGTTTTCTATTAATTTATGTCTGAGATTGTACAGATCAGGAAATAAGTTTTTTCTGTGTCCTCAAAAGTAACCCAAATAGTCAAGAGGCATCACTGCAAAGCTAATCCAGAGCTGCAGACTGTGATGATCTCAAAAACCAAATTTGCTAAATTTTGCCTATTTTTATTTTAATCTTGCTCTTTCTTTGCATCTCTTCTCAATCCAGCTCTTGATTTTGCATATAGTCTATAGGAACTGAATTGCTTTTGAGATTTGCACATTTCTGTCAAATTTAGTAGGACCTTCATGAAATGTCAAATGTCATCACAGAGAACAGACAGAGAGGGAAGGAATGGCAAGTCCTGCAATTACAGAAAACTGTATTAAATAGGTTTTCAAGTTCAAATATGAGACAAGTGTAGTGTATGCTCCAAAAGTGTTGGGTTTACCCCCTGTCCATCTGGATGCAACTTCTCCTCCTGTTCGGGAATCTTTGATTTGTCTTCACTGTTATTTGTGATGCTTTGCTGTTTTTCTATGTTACATAGGCAGAGAAACAGCCCAAATATGAAGAGAACCTGTACATGTACCTTTACTTTGTGGCCTTTATTGTCTTTGGATCATTTTTCACCCTAAACTTATTCATTGGTGTCATCATAGATAACTTCAACCAACAAAAAAAGAAGATAAGTACCATATGTTTCATTTTCACAATACTTCATTGTTATTGAGCATTCAGCAAATGTATGCAAGGATAAATAATAGTGTCTGAAAATTCTCATAGAAATAGAAAGGAAAAAAGAAATCAGGTTTTAAGATTTTTGTTTGTTCAAAATAATTGAATAACAGTATTTTCATTTTAACACATTTGAAGTAATTTAAAATTACACTTAGTGTTGAGTGTTCTCCACATTCCTGTACAGCCCAATGATATATTGTCCATCAGAAAGTCATGTCTTTTTTTTCTTAAATTTACAGTGCTGTGCCTAAGCAATGTGAAAGTGCAGATGACTTAAGCAAATAAAAGGCAGGAAAGAAAATATGCAAAACTATAAATTTCAAAATTGATAAGGAGATAACATACAGCACTATTGTGAAGGCCTCCATTATAGAGACTAACATGTTGAATGCTGAAAATACTTCTCTGTATTGTAAGATTAGAGAGGGTAGGGAAACTATCTTGAGTTAGTGAATTTGCAAGAAAAAGAAAATTTGTGTCATTTGAAAATGTGTATGTTTTCTTTTCAACTTAAGCTGTTTCTATTACTTAAATGAACACAGGATTGTGTCAAGAACTCTAGAAACATGCAAGTAGATAAAAAGGCAGGCTATGATGGCAAATTAAATTGTACTTGCTATTTAAACCATAAATGGTGGCATCTTCAACCTTCAAAATACTTGCACCTTCCTTGGAGTGAACTTGAGGGGCATCCAGTACTTAGCAGGAAGGTGGATCCATTTCTTATCCTTGGAGAGCAAGACTATGGTTATATACATGTTGTTGGTAATTTTGGCAGTCGATATGTGACAAGGTAACCTTACTCAGTAATGAGGTAATTATAAAATTTATTAAGTTCATTTGGTAGACACTGTCTACTGGAATCATTGTGACTTAGAAATCAGATAAAGGTTCCTGCTAAATGGCTTTTTCTGGCAGTATGGTATACACCCCTTGTACATTGGAGCTATTGCAAGTCACCAAGAAAGTAAAATACTGGACATACAATTAGGCTGGGGAAAATTCTATCTATATGGTATTCTTGAGTTTCATGTAGCCAATTAGCAAGCATTAGTTATCTGTCTTTTGAAAGCATAGGTGCATCTGTGTTCATAACAATGTGCAGATCACACAGTTCATGGCTACCCAGCAGTATTTTTCTTCTTGTTTTTTTTTCATATCACTGACATTTGGGTATGTTGGGATATGAATGAGAAAAGACCTTGTGTTGCAGTATACTGTCTGTGTAGTTAAACTGTGCTTTTCCTGTGGTTCCTGTGTGCATCCTACTTTCACTACATTCGTTCTGTGAGGGAGGCAACGTTCTACTGTCGAGTTCCTAACTGGTCCATAAGGGTTATCTTGCCTTGAGGCCTGCATTCTCCCTAGGGACAGCACACTGAGATAAGGATGGCTTGTTCAGCCATTACATCAGTGAGACAGCAGAAGAAACCCCCAACCCATTACCACTTTCTTTATGGCTCTTTTCTTTTATTCTTTATTTCCCACTGATTGAAATCTTCCAACAGTCACAGCACACTTCTACCATAATTATCAAATCAACTTCTTGTTTTTTCTTCCCAAAGTCTTACTCTTCAAGAAGTTAATTTTACTTGAATATTTGATTTATGAGGAGAGATTTTTGGAGATGGTCTCTTTTGACTGCTGAATCTTCATGTCAATATATAGACACAGCTGAAATTTAAAAACACCTTCATTCAGACTTGCCATTACTTTATCTATAAGATTGACACTGCATTTGACAAATTCAGTGGGACAAAGTCACAGAATCACCCCTGACTCTGAAGTCCATTTCCCTATGCCACTGCTTTGATGTCATGGATACTTGGAATATAATTACAAACAAATGCTTGAAAAGAAAAAACAAAGTTGCTTGTCAATATAAATTGTATTTCTGATAAGTGTTTCCATGTGTGTATTACCAGTCTAGAAATACTTTTATTCAGACAAGAAACCCCCAAGTAAACCCATGCTTCTGATGATCTAGGTACAATGGTGGGGGATGATCAAGCTTCATATACACTGTTCATATATCATCTGAACTGAGATACCTAGACTCAAATGGCAAAATGCATATCCTGAAAAGTAAAATCAGTAATTTCTTTCTCTTTTTATGTTTTACCTGAAGCATATGTTCTCACAGTGTATCTTTACCTTTGAAGCTTTTCTATTTCTGGTAGATTGATTTATAATGTGGAATTCATGATGCTAGATTTGTAAGAGTCTATGAAATGTGTATTTCGCAATTTGTGTTTGGTTTTTAAAATTTATTTAATTGAATTAATCAGGTATGTATTTTTTTAATAAGAAATAGAAGTTTTGGGAATTTTCTTTGTTCAATAATTTCATTTTTTATTCAAGATTCATCAGCTATTTTAAGAATCTTTAAAATAATTATTATGTTTTGGTTTTGGTCATAATGTATAAGGATGAATAAAGGGCTCATTTAAACAATGCTGCAATGCTGTGAATTAATGGATATGAGGGCTTGGCTGTAATCCGATTTGGGGTTTCTTTTATTAATTTACCTTGGAGGCCAAGACATTTTCATGACAGAAGAGCAAAAGAAATACTACAATGCAATGAAGAAGCTGGGATCCAAGAAACCACAAAAACCTATACCTCGACCAGTGGTAAGAATTGTGCTATTCTTATGTAATCTATATTTGGTGAGAAATCACAGCAGTTATAATAAAATTTCTCCTTTCATTCTAAAATAGTTTTGGCCTAATTAATGTTCCTGTTCATTCTGTATTGAAATGTACATGTGTCCATTCTGCAGGAAAAATCTCTCATATTGTTCAGCCTGAGGAAGTAGAGAATCAAAGAACATGAAGAAATATAGGCTTGTTGAGTTTTGAGAGAAAAACTTTGAACTGGCATATAAGTTAGTGGATGATAGTTTTCTTAGATTTTTGAGCCTTTTGCTTGGTTGTATATTTTGGGAGAGAAAGAATGAAATGGGACAGTGGGAACAGATGTTTATTACATAAAAATACTATAACCTTTTATTTTTTCTTCCCTCAGAACAAATTGCAAGGTCTGGTGTTTGATATTGTAACACAGCAACTATTTGACATCACTGTTATGGTTCTAATCTGTCTTAACATGGTCACGATGATGATAGAAACAGATGACCAGACCGAACTGAAGCAAAATATTTTATATTGGATTAACTTGGTCTTTGTTGTCCTTTTCACTGGTGAATGTGTCTTCAAAATATTTTCACTCCGCTATTATTACTTCACCATTGGCTGGAATATTTTTGATTTTGTGGTTGTTATTCTTTCAATAATAGGTAAGAAATTCTTATGTTCAAAATGAAATACAATTATATGTATATTTAGTGTATAATCTCTGTCAAGTTGTGCAAATTGGAGGAGTTATTTAATTTTAATTTCTCCTCATTATTTAGGAAATGAAATGCATAGTTGAGAGTGCTAACATTCTTAGTTATTCTGTATCAGTTGTAATACTTCTAAATTTGAGGTTATTTTCTAAAAGTGCTGGGAAAAATTCTAAAATTATCCATAGAAGATAAAATTTATCTCCAGTTATATTTTCCACTAATTCCACAACTTGAGCTGGGGAGGGTGTTTATACTTTTTTGTGGAAAATGTAATCTGTATTAAAAAACTTACACTCTTAATTTATTTTTATGTTTCACAGGTATGTTTCTAGCTGAGGTGATTGAAAAGTACTTTGTGTCACCCACTTTGTTCAGAGTCGTCCGGCTTGCCAGAATCGGTCGAATCCTGCGCCTCATTAAAGGCGCTAAGGGAATCCGCACTCTGCTCTTCGCTTTGATGATGTCTCTTCCTGCTCTGTTCAACATTGGGCTGCTGCTCTTCCTGGTCATGTTCATCTATGCGATATTTGGCATGTCCAACTTTGCCTACGTCAAGAGGGAAGTTGGGATTGATGACATGTTCAACTTTGAAACGTTTGGCAACAGCATGATCTGCCTGTTTCAGATCACCACCTCCGCTGGCTGGGATGGTTTGCTCGCCCCAATTCTGAACAGTGGGGAGCCAGACTGTGACCCCCATAAAGATCATCCGGGGAGCTCTGTGAAAGGTGACTGTGGCAACCCTTCTGTTGGGATTTTCTTCTTTGTCAGCTACATTATCATATCCTTCCTGGTAGTGGTGAACATGTACATTGCTGTGATTTTGGAGAACTTCAGTGTTGCTACTGAAGAAAGTGCTGAACCCTTGGGTGAGGATGACTTTGAGATGTTCTATGAGGTTTGGGAAAAATATGATCCTGATGCAACACAATTCATTGAATATAGTAAACTGTCTGATTTTGCAGCTTCTCTAGATCCTCCTCTTAATATACCAAAACCAAACACAATTCATCTTATTGCAATGGATCTGCCTGTGGTGAGCGGTGACAGAATTCACTGCCTTGACATCTTGTTTGCTTTCACAAAGCGTGTTTTGGGGGAAAGTGGGGAGATGGACGCCCTCAGAATACAGATGGAAGATCGGTTTATGGCATCCAATCCTTCTAAAGCTTCCTATGAACCAATTACAACTACATTGAAACGAAAACAAGAAGAAGTTTCTGCCACTATTATTCAGCGTGCTTACAGGCGTCACCTTCTAAGACAGTCAGTAAAGAAGCTTTCATTTATGTATCAGAAAGATGGGGGTGAACAGCTCATCAGAAAGGATATAATTGTTGGTAAGCTGAGTGAAAACTCATCTCCAGAGAAAATGGATATGTCTGCATCCACCACAGCTCCACCTTCGTATGACAGTGTAACAAAACCAGAAAAAGAAAAATACGAAGATGACAAATCAGAAAAGGAAGACAAAGGAAAAGACAGAAGAGGAAACAAAAAGTAAAAGGCAGATGTTATCCTTGATGAATGTTTGCAAGCTTGAAAATAATGTTTTTATCACTAGCACTCTTACTGGAGGATTATGCCAAAATTACAACTTTTTACATATTTACCCACTGCTACAGTCAATGCCTGTCCAGGACAATGATCCTTCACTATTAAACTCTTGGTCTGTAACAGGGAAACAAACCTGCAGAACAACAGTTTTGATTATCAGTTGTTACTGATTGAAAGGAGACACAGAATTTCTACTTAGACTATAGGAAACCTTAATGGATCCTAATAAGCCTGTATTTTTGTGGAGTAAGCGTATCCACTGTGTACATTTCATCTTTTATCTGTGTTCCATGTGTGGCAGTTCTTGTTGATGATTTTGTTTGGTTTAATAACATACTTCTTTATTAATTCTGCTCTGCTGAGAAAAATAATCTAAATACTCTTTATTTAGCTAAATACTAAATAATACTCTTATGTGCAGAGAAATACAAATGTCAGGAATATGTAATTGTGGCATCATAATATGAACATAGTTCTCTTCACGCCACTTCTAAATGCAGAAAACCAGGATTCCAGATTACGGAACCTCAGGTGTAGATCAAAGAAGCAGCAAACTAAAAAAAAACCCAACAAAGTCCAGATAAATAATTTGTCAGCAAATCAAACAATGGAATAATTCTCTCAGAAAAGAGGTTGGTAACTTCATCTTTTAAGTTTAATACATGTATTTTATAGTAGTTCTGAATTTATTGTACTGTCCATTTCAGATACAGTGGTTTAAATAAATGATGATACATAGAGCTCCTGTTTGGAAAATTGTGAAACTATGAAAAATATTACTTTCAGAGTACAAGAGAGCTCATAATTCCTGAAACATTCAAACAATTCTTTTCACAGACAATCTACAAATGCCAAATTCTGCCTATAGCAAGTAATAATTTTTTTTAAGTGGTATGTTTTGACCCTGGAGTACAGTGAGTAGGTTCTATACTTTATTGCAAAGTCTGTTGCTGCGCTTATTTTCCATGCGTGTATCCTACTTAGAAAAATAATCAAAGCTATAAGTTGATAGCAGAGTACCTTTGGGGACCAGAGTCCCTTTTAATATATACCTCAGATTTAAATTTCTCTACTTTGGAAGGATGAATCATAGAAACATAAAATATGTACATGAGAGAGGTGGTTTTGACATCCTCTTGGCAATTTAGTCAGGTTTTCAGGTAATGTAACCTTCCATAGAGAGCTGAGATGACCAAAAAGATTAGTGAAATCAGCTTTGTCCTGACACATTCAGGCTGACACTATACATGTAAGTAAAATCCCTCTGTTATTTAATCAGTTGTTTTACACAGTGGTACCTTTTTGCACAAAGAGACAATGACCTAATTACCGTATATGTGTCAAATATGTACCCTAGTAAGTTAGCCTAAAACATTTCAATAGATATTATATTCTCTGATACTTCAAATAATTGGAAGCTCTAACTGATGCATGCTTGCTGCTATTATCCTACAGCTATTATTTAACATTGGAAGAGATGTGAGTGGTAAAAAGAAAAACTGATTGACAAGACCATCATTCCTCATACCAGTAAGCAATAGTTTGCTGCTATTAAAGATTTTATTTTGTGGGAGTGTTGTAATCAGCAAATATGCAGTAAGATAGTGGACTATACAGGACAAATAGATTGCTTAAAATATGGGGCTAGAAAAAATTATAATGTATATCTATTATTTTTATTTTAATAATAGTTTTATTTTATAACATTTTTTACTCACTATAAGAAATTGCACATATTTTCCTGTTAGTAATATTTATTGCTGTCTGTCTTTGACACTTTACTGTTCAGAAACCTAATATACAACGTGTAATTGAAGATTTCTGCTAATTGCTTTAAACAGCTTTTAATAAGGAATAATTTTAAAACAAATAGTACAAATTTTTTTTCTGATCTGTAGGTGTGAAACAAGATAGAAGGCCTTTTTTTATGTTGTAATCCTGTCTGTTGACTTTCAGGGTTATGTCATAGGAACATTGCTTTTTTTCCCCAGAGTTAATCTCACATTGTCTGCTTTGCTTATTGGTGCACACTGCAGTAAAAATACTTTAAATACAATTTGTTATTCAAAAATCTTCCTTCATGAGGATGAATAGTGAACTTGTGCAATCGACAGTGAAACACTTTGCATTTCTTACAAAAGAACCAGAATATTGATGGCCTCCTGCTTTTATGGAAATTATTAGCTCATAGTGTACTGATGAACTGCACGCAGGAAGTTGTTTTACCAAAAATAACTACAATGCTAAAAAGCCAAAAGAATAAAGATTACCTTTTTATGTAATTGTTTTAGTCTTTGTCTTTTATTGTATGAATTTTATAACAATTAACAAGTAATGGTTGGTAAAATTAAGGGGAAGCCACTTCAGCAGTGAGGTGATTTAGACATCTAGATCACATGTGGCTTCATGACTTAGCTCAGTATCAACTTGTCACCATCAACATGAAATGAAATTCTGATTTTGTCCTGACCATAGGAGTTTTTCTAGAATTCAGGAAAAAAATTGCATTTCAACTGTGTGTCTTTCTGCCAAATTTTTGAGTTGTTCAGGAAGAGCTCCAGTGATACTCTCTGTTGGGCAAGTCCGATGTGGGATGGCTGCACAGCTGCTCCTGCAGACACTGCTCATCCTGGGATAGGGGACCTGAAATCTGTCACCAAAATAACCCCATGGGAACATAACAGAGTTGCTTTAGTTCCTTTCCTTCTGAGGAAATCTATACTTGCCAAGAGGAGGGAAGAAGAGCTATTGGAGGTTTTGGTGGCCGTGCCACAGCCGTCGTCAGGCAGCTGAAGCCTTTGCTGAGGCTCTCAGGCGTGGTCCTGAGGCTGCTGCACACAGGTGGCAGGATGAGGGACACGGTGTGTGCATTGGACCTGGGCACGGGCTGATTAATCCTTTGTTTATTTGTTTGTGTGGTTTTTGGTTTTATGGGGTTTTTTTGGGGTGGTTTTTTGTGTGTGTGTGTGTTCTCATTTCTTTTGTGAAAAGTAGTCGCTGTATACTTAGGCCAATGCAACTAACAGGAAAAAAACCTGAACTATGCTGTGCTTTGAAGGGCAATTTTCATGTTTTTAGTAACTATACCTGATTTGAATTAATATGCATGGTTTTTTCAATCCAGAATATCTAGTGTTTTAATATGGCAATTGCTAACAATAATTACATATTAATGTAATAATATAAATACTTCTAAAAAATATTGGTTATACTGTTAAATTGCTGTTTAAAGAATAAAGTTAAGTCAGTGCTGGACAGGTGTGTAGTTAACTTGAAAATCCTGTGTGGAATAAGCACAAAATATTTATGTAATAATTTTTCTACAAATTTGGTAGTGCACAGAAATAGAGGTCATTCGTAAAATCATTTTACATTGTAAAATTTCTATTATTTTTAAAGTTATGGCTATTGAACCAATAATGCAGCTGGAGTCACTCTATTTTTAGTATCTGAAATGCAGTATCTTAGACCTTTAAAGAAAAAGTAATATATTTTTGGATTCCAAGTGTATATATTTGAATATATTTGGATACTTCTGTATTTCTTTGAAATTATGCTAGTATACCTTGAAGGTAAAAAATTTATGGAAGAGACAGTTGACTTGCAGACTTCCTCCTTAACCTGCAGGTATGAAATAAATCTGTGTTTTAGTTTTGATATAAGACAGTGGTTTCAGGTAATGGGTCAGTCATACATCATTATGGAAAACCTTAAGCAAAATGCCTAGAGCAGCAGGACACTGCACTCTCTTATTGTCCCAGCTCACAGAGAAGGAAAAATTAATAAGAAAAGCTCTCTTAGAATGACCTAAGAAATGAGCTTTCTTTACTGTCTCTTACTAACCCAGAAGTGCGGGTGTATTTTACTCTGTGAAGGTGACATCAACCTCCAGTTCCCCTTCCCACCCTCCAAAAAAGCCTCAACTCTTTCCCAAACCTGTATTGGAACATAGAAATGAAACATTTCTGGGATTTTTCAAATCCTGGCCTGACTCAACCCTGTAATAAAAACTCTGTTTCACTTCTAGGGACAAGACTAGTCCCGCATCCATCATACGGAATCACTTGTGAAAGTGAGAAAGGGAGGAGATAGCAGGGGCAATAGGTAGGATATTGCTCTCTCGCTTGCTTTCGTAAAGAGGCCTTAAATAGGTTGTGGTGTAGCTGTTGTTTTCAGGCAGAGTTTGCGTTGCTGGGGGCGGTGGGAGCATCTCTGGGGCCGGTCCAGGCGCGCACGGGGCGGCCCGGCGTGGCTTGGGAGCCCGGTCATCCGCCTGCCGGTGTGAAAACAGCCTCACTGTCGCTACTCCTGTGGCTGCAACAGCAGCTTCTTGCATTTCTGTGCTGTACCCTCTAAGCCATGTGGACCTGTGTCCTGTATGTGGACCTATATCCACATGTGTGTATGTGGACACGTCAGCTAAGAGCTGCCATGCTCAGCTGAGCTTACTAAACTACAGATGAAGGGTTTTGATGCAGTGGGAAATTCCTCAAATAGCTTTAGGTTTACTTTTCTTAATAGGCATTATTCATCTAATCCCACGGTGCATCCCTGAAACAGCTCCAGCCTTCTAAAAGAATCATATATCAAAGTTATTTGTGTTTGCATGGCAGAGAGTGATATATATAAAATGTATAATGAAGTATCATTAATAATGCGGGGGATTTTTTTTGGACATAGAAAATCCTTACAATATTCGTTCTATTGTATAGATTCAGAAAAGCTTATCTAGCTCAGTGAGGCATTAGGAGAAATAATCTGAAATCTCTGCAACGTAGGAATATCTAATGGCTCATAAACCTCTGCATTAGCAACATCTTTTTCAGTGGGGGATGGTACCATTTCTTTCATCCTTAGAGCACAACTAGGTTTTGTCTATGTGACACAGCATGCAGGTTCTATCACTCAGCATATTTATTTTTCCTTGCTGATCAGTGGAAGCTGTTGCACGGTGGAAAGAGACATATTCTAGTGCTTGCCTTTAAAAAAAAAGACACTGCAGTGTAACCCAAGCAAAGTAAACTGCGGCACATTCTCATCCCTCTGGAGAGGGGAGATTGCATGCTGAAGCACACATGATGTCTGCTGCAAGAAAAGCTTTTGATGAAAATAAAGACTGGCATTTCATAAACAATTTATAACAATCAAACCCTGCAGTTCGAGACATGCTCTGCACTTCCATTTTCTATTGTAAAAGCATGCTACTTTCTCTTTAACAGCAATCTTCATAATCATGTTTGTAGAATGTGGCAGCTGATTAACAAACAGCACAAAATATTTTTCAAACAATGCATATCTGAAATGGAATGTAATAAACCACTTTCATTTACAAAGTAGTATGTGTAAGTCATGTTTAAAAATGGTCAGAGAATTATATGCTGTGTGCAATATTGCTTTATAAAAAAGTCATGCTTGCAGATACCATAGCAACCCATCATGTGGTACTTTTTGATTGCCAAGCTGTATAGTAGTTTTATACTCATATTTGCAGCCATACGTGCATTAATATTTTTATATAGTGTTCAGAGAAAATTGTAGCTGTATCCACAACATAATGCAAACTGAACTATGCCAGTAGTGCTCTCAAGTTCATGGTCTCA